CCTCCCTCCTCCTTCCTTCTGTTCCCTGCTGTTCCAAGGCACCAGGAACAGCTGCCCCACCTGTGTTCCAGCAACTTCCAGACAACCCTGGGACTGCCACACCAATAACTTATAAGCAAGGTGAGACCCAGAGAAAGGTGTGGACTTGCTATTCTCCAGACACAAATATTCACAGGGTCAGCTGCAACGACTCTCTCTCCCCATAGGAAATAAAGCTGAGTGAGAATAAAGTCAAAAGTGGGACAGGAGACACCAGAGCTCCAAGCCCTACTTACTGGATGTGCAAAAGTACATGGTGGACTTTGATTTTCAGCCAGGTACAGATTTTGCTGAGAGAGAGAAAGAGAGCATGGGGTCACGTTTCATACTGAACAGCCTCTCAGAAAACTTGGAGACCTGCAGGTCCTGAAGGGCCTCATGGCCCTGATTGCAATATCACTCCAAGCCCCCAGTGCTTAGCCCAGGTACATGCTGGCCTTTGCCCTTAGCAGAAAACAAAAGATTCCTTTTACTCAGTGATTCAGATCCCCAAGATCATATATTGAAAAAATTAACCAGGGGCTGGGGATGTGGCTCAAGTGGTAGTGAGCTTGCCTAGTGTGTGTGAGGCACTGGGTTCAGTTCTCAGCACCACATAAATGTGAAATAAAGATACTGTGTCCACCTAAAAATTAAAGAAATAAATATTAAAAAAATTAGAAAAGATTAACCAAATTCCAGCCTGTTTTTTATTCCAATCTGGGCCCTATAGGCAGAAGCTAAGGACCCTAAGTCCTTGTATGCTTAAGTCCCAGCTACAAGGGGACAGGACTTAAGAGGCTGAAGAGTTTGCTAAGCAATGAGGAAACCCAGTGGGTATTATATGGGTTTCCAAGTCAGGCAAGGGACTATGGGAAAAGAGGGTCAAGAGGTACTCACTATGTGTTTTCATCCTGTATTCTGCTGGCTACTGCATAAAACACCTGTTAACCAAATGGGCACAAGGTTAGCCTCACCTTAGGCTGCCTCCTTCCCAACACCACACACATCTGAATATCTGCGGGCAAGGCTGGCTGGGATCAGGGAAGTCACCTGTTCACTGGCCAAAGGGCCGATGTGTAGGAAGAGACTGTTGGAAACTTGTCCTACCACAAGGGACAGGTGCAGAACCTCGATGGTCAGCTGGGTCACAGTGATGGGGTAGTAGTTGGTATTGGAGATATTCAAGATACTCTGGGGATAAAGACAAGGAAAGGGAGGGTAAGAGTGGCTCATCTTCGAAAGGGAGAAGCCAAATAGTTTCAGAAGTCTGGCTCTTGGGCCAGATTCCCAACCAACCATGACAGATCTTAGGTACAGAGAATCAGTACCAAGAGCTCCTCCAATTTTTTTTTTTTTTTTAATACTGGAGACTGAACCTAGAGGAGCTTAACCACTGAGCCACATCCCCAGCTCTTTTTGAGACAGTACTTCACTAAGTTGCTTAGAGCCTTACTTAGTTGCTGAGGCTAGCCTTGAACTTGTGATCCTCCTGCCTCAGCCTCCTGAGCTACTGGGATTACAGGTGTAAACCACCATGCCCAGCTTCCAATGGGCTTTTTTTAAAACATGTATCAGGAGGATTCTGTTATAGGAAATCTGATATAAAGTTCACTGCTTAAGTCAGAAGCAGAATCGGACAAATGGAAAAAAGTTTTTAGGTACAGACACAAGGATTATTTTCAGTAATTTATTAATAGTAACGTGAACAGAATGCTGTGTTGATGGTTGGCTACTTGGGTCCCAACATTGAGTAGGAGGACCAGACAGCATGGCTTGTGGTATCACCACAATACGGAACAAGTAACTTCTTCAAACCCTACCATTGTCAGATGGTCTTTATGAACTGCACAAAATATGGAATGCTTCACGAACTAACCTGCAGGTCATTTGTGTGCAGGGGCCATGCTAATCGTTTCAATTTTAGTATATGTGCTGCCGAAGCGAGCACACCAATGGGCTCTTAATGGTGAGGAGTCACCTTTAAGAAGTTGCTCTGAGCCAGGTGAGAGGGCACATGTCTATAATCCCAGTGACAGACGAGGCTGAGGCAGGAGGATTACAAGTTTGAGACCATCTCAATAACTTAGCAAGACCCCACTCAAGATAAGAAATAAAAACATTAAAAAAAAAAAAAGAAGCTACATTGAGCTAGGTGTGGCAGCACATGCCTGTAGTCTCATCTACTCAGGAGGCTGGGTCCCAACATTGAGTAGGAGGACCCAACATTTGAGTCCAAGAGTTTGGACCATCCTTGGCAACAGTGTGAGACCCACATTTCAAAACAAATGAACAAAAACCACACTGGCTTAGGATCCAGTCCCATTTTATATGGCTTCTTTCCATTCTGTCCGTCCATCCAGAGTTTCAGGCACTGACAACTCTACTCCACACTATGATTTATTAATCTGACCTGGATTCTGATCCCTGATTGTGGAGAGTTCCAGTTCTATACAATTTGTTATCAGATAGCTCATGCTATTCCCTACTTCTCTCCTCTGGGTGCCACGAGATCCTTGGCTATCCACACCTAAATTGGACAAAGGCTTTAGGGAAGTACAGAGGGCAGAGCCAGGGCACCTACTACACACACACCGTCATGTTGAGGTGGATGTCAGACTCATCAAAGGCCACGGTGGAGGAGTTGAGGCCTGCAGGCTGCACACCGATGGACCGGGGAAACAGGAAAAAGATGATAGAGGAGGAAGTCATCAGGCAGATGAACACTGCCAGGAACACAGAGAGCTTCCTGTGGGAAAGCAGCACACAGGATGGAGGAGTGTGAACACCAAGGAAACCTGGGGTTCTCACACTCCTCTCCAGATACAAGGCTCTCCACACATATCACCTCCATGACTGCTCATTTAGCTGTCCAGATGTGGTTCAGCATGGGTAGTAAGGAGCACAGCACTAGGAGGAAGGTAGCTTGGCTTCCATTCCCACCTTCCTGTTCCCGTTGACCTCATAACGTCAAGCAGCACACCTACCCTCCCAAATTCCCACTTTCTTTGTAAAATGGAGATAATTGTACCTACGTAATAGAATTTGCTTTGATATAATACATGGAAAAATACTAATCACAGGTCCTGGCATGTAGAAAAAGCTCAATGAATGCTAGTAAGTATCACTAGAAGAACTAAGTCCACATTAATTTTTTGAGAGTTCTGATTTGTATATTTAGTTAAACAATATTCAGAAACAGGAAACCATCCATCTAATTCAAAACAGATAATTAGAGACAGTTGGGCTGGCCACTGGGTTCCATCTTCAGCACACATAAAAATGAAACAAAGGTAAAGGTATGCTGTCCATCTACAACTACAAAATTAAAAATAAATAATAGAGATAGGGGCATTGCTAGTTTCTAATTCTGATGTAGTAGTGGGAAGGCTGTATGGAGGGTCTCCAGCTCAAGCTGAGGATTTTGGGAGGAGGTTGCAGGGATTCATAACAAATGGACCCTGATCTCACAAACAGGGTCACAGACATGCCCCCCCCCCAAAAAAAAAAAAAAAATCCAGGGCTACTTCTGAGGTTTTGAATTGTGCCAGAATAAGCAGCAGCTGGTTTTCTATCTCTAATTTGAAGAAAAAAAGCAGGTCTAAAGACTGCCAGGGCAAGAGAAGCTCCTAAGAAAAACAACTTCCCAAATCAATTTGCAAACCAATTGCAGCCAGGTCCGTCCCCTCCCTCCCAGGAGGATTTGCAGGTCCTTTCTGTTTTGGAGAGAGGACCATGCCTCTTGAAGCAGTGATACTCCAGGAAAGGTAGGAAGTGGCCTCAGACAATATTTGCTATGCTCATTTTTTTGTGTGTGGGTGAGTGGGGGAAGAGTTTTATTCCTATTTTTGATGCACTGGGGATTGAACTCAAGGGCCTCACACCTGTTAGACAAGTGTTCTACCACTGAATCATTTTGTGTATGTTTTATTTATTCTTTAGGTTTTGTGGATTGAACCCAGGGCACTGTACCACAGAGTTATATCCCTAGACCTTTTTTTCTTTTTTTTTTTGGGGGGGTACCAGGTATTGAACTCAGGGACACTCAACCACTGAGGCATCCCCAGCCCTATTTTGTATTTTATTTAGAGACAGGGTCTCACTGAGTTGCTTAGCGCCTTGCTCAAGCTTAGCGCATTGCTGAGGCTGGCTTTGAACTCTAGATCCTCCTACTTCAGCCTCCCAAACTACTGGGATTATAGGTGTGCACCGTGCCCAGCTTAGACCTTTTTGAGACAAAGTTTTGCTAAGTTTCTGGCTTTGAACTTGTAATCCTCCTTGCCCCAGCTTCCAAAATCACTGGGATTACAGGCATGCTCTATTGTGCTCAGTTTGGTTTTATTTTTATTTTTGGTGTAGTTGGACAAAATACCCCCATTTTATTTATTTTTATATGGTGCTGAGGATTGAACCCAGGCCTTGCACATGCTAAGCAAGCGCTCCACCGCTGAACCACAACCCTAGCCCCTGTTTTTATTTTTAAAAAATAGTTTTGCATGGGCTGGGGATATAGCTCAGTTGGTAGAGTGCTTGCCTTGCATGCACAAGACCTTGGGTTCAATCCCCAGAACCCCCTAATTTTTTTTTTTTTTTTTTTTTGCAGAGCTGAGGATCAAACCTAGGCTGGGGATGTGGCTCAAGCGGCAGCATGCTCGCCTGGCATGTGTGCGGCCCGGGTTCGATCCTCAGCCCACATACAAAGATGTTGTGTCCGCCAAAAAATATTAAAATTCTCTCTCTTTCTCCCTCTCTCTTAAAAAAAACAAACAAACAAAAACCCCAAAAAAACCTAGGGCCTCCTACATGGTAGGCAAGTGTTTTACCATTGAGACACAGCCCTAGTCTGTGAATTTTCTGATTGACAAATAATTGTACATATTTATGGGTACAATGTAATGCTTCAATATAAGATATATTGCATATAACAGGGTAATTAGCATATATACAACAATTATCATTCTTTAAATTTTTGGGGGGATGGTGCTGGGAATTGAATTTATGGCTTCACAAATGCTAAGCAATGTTCTACCACTGAATAATCCCAGACCTGACACTTACCATTTTATATATACATGTTTAGTTGTTGATGGACCTTTATTTTATTTATTTGTATATATGCAGTGCTGAGAATCAAACCCAGTGCCTCACACATGCTAGGTAAGCACTCTACCCCTGAACTACAACACCAACCCCAACACTTATCATTCTTTTTTTAATACCTTTGTTTTGTTTATTTTTATGTGGTGCTGAGGATCGAACCTCGCTCGCTAGGCCAGCGAACATTCTACCTCTGAGCCACAACCTCAGTCCCCCAACCCCCTATCATTCTTAAACCAGGAAATTCTTTGGAAACAAGGAGGCAGGTTAAGCTCAGACTACCTGGGGAAGAACCAATGGGAAAAATGGAGGGATCACAATGGTGACTCTAATGGGTAAAGCAGCCCCCTGGGGTGATGACCTGTGGAGATGGAGGAAAAAGAGTGCTTACGTGTGTCTGGGCTTCAGCCTCTGGTCCCCATAGGGGATGAGGGCCACCAGCTGCTCCTCCAGCTCTGTAGAAAGATGATGAGAGGGAGGACCAAGATGTATCATGACAAATGTTTCCTGGACCAGCCTCCTAAAAGCATCCTTCCTCCACTCTATACAGCAGTATCAGAGGCATGCAGCCTCAGCCTCAGAGCAGGACTGGAAGCCTTGGATTGTGCTACTGAAGTAGCTAGCTCAGCTTTGAACCAGAAGGTAAGTAAGATTTCTAATAGGTAAGAAGACTCTCTGAAAGTCACTAGTGAATCAGAAAGGCTTACCTTCTTTGGAGAGGTCATTTGTTAACTTCCTGAATCCTAAGACACAGAGTGATGCTTGGGGAGCAGAGTGGCAGAAAAATACATCTAATATAGGAAGGGGGGGGTTCTCTGCAGGGAGTCCAAGGCTAAATGGGTTAATACTGACTAAGTTGAGAGCACTATTCAACCATTCAAGGAGACTCAAAAGGGCTGCCTCAAACTCTGGCTAGCCAAAAGCACTTCCTGGATTCCAGGCTATTTCCAGAGATTTGGTCAACTTACCTTGGGGGATTTTCCCACTGCCTTGGCAGGTAGGGCAGGGCACAAATTTGGCACTAGCAGGCACACAGGAACAAAAAGATTTGCTGCTTCCAAAGCTGGAATAGCTGGGAGCTGTATCACCAATGGCCGAGTTGGGGGGCAGTATTGACTTGATTTCATCTTTCTGACAGCCCAGCTGGGAGAACATATCACCCATTGTTCAAGGGGAACGGTTCACTAGTGAAAAAAGAACAAAGTTCAATATTAAACTTCTTTAAAAAAATTTTTTTTTTTAGTTTTAGCTGGACACAATATCTTTATTTTTTAGAGAGAGAGAGAGAGAGAGAGAGAGAGAGAGAGAGACTCTTTTTTGTAGATGGATACAACAAATTGCTTTTATTTTTTTTTAATGTGGTGCTGAGAATCGAGTGCTCAACCACTGAGCCATAATCCCAGCCCAATATCTTTATTTTTATGTGGTGGTGAGGATGGAACCCAGTACCTCATGCATACTAGGCAAGCACTCTACCACTGAGCATCCCCAGCCCCATAATTCTGGTTTTAAGTTATCAAGATTAGCAAAGAGCCAAGCATTGGGGTGCACACCTGTAATCCCATCAACTGGAGAGGGTGAAGCAGGAGGATAGCAAGTTCAAGGCCAGCATCAGCAATTTAGTGAGAAGCTGTCTTAAAACAAAAGGGCTGGAGATGTGGTTTAGGGTTAAGCTCCCCTAGGTTCAATCCCAGTACCGCCCCCCCCACACCAAACAAAAAAAATTGGCATGAGCCCTACCATAATCTAAGCAAGCTAAAACCTAAGGAAGATAGACTTGAAGAGTTATATGGGGCTCTCAGATTGGAACTTTAAATGCCTTTCAATTCCTTTAATTATTGTTAAGAGAAATCAATCTGCCTACAAAAAAAGAAAACCAAAGAAAAGCAGAAGTTATTTCACTTTAAGGAACTTCCACAAGAGAATGGTACAGTTCTTTTTTTCTTCGAAAGTTGCTGAGCTGTCATTTTAAAGGAAGGCAACTGGATAAAGCTCAGGGCAGGGAGGGGAGCAATCTGGAAGGTCCCTTCATCTTCCCCAATTACTCTTAAAAAATGTCTCTAAGAGCACCCTGACAGAAAGGCTGAGGTTTGAGGAAGGCTGCCTCCTGGGCGTTGCTGGCTTAATAGGAAGGCAGCTGCTCTTTAAACAAAGGAGAAAGGAAGCTACAGGTCACAGGTGTAGGTAAGAACCTGTCTAAAAATATCCCAGGTGTGAGCAAAAGTGTCTTCCTCACTACTTTTGAGATGGGGTAGGAAGAAAGCCCGGGGAATCCCTTAGTCATGTCAGGGACTGCCCTTTATTAGGAGAGAGCAAGACTAAATCTGGACCCCCCCCCCAAAAAAAAAGACCCCCAAGAGTGGTACCAGAATGAGGTGGGTAAGTTGAGCCACTCGGATCTTTCTGGACTAAAATAAGCCTCACCTGGTTTAGGTATGGGATCCGGGATTCCTTTTCAGTTGCAAGAAGGTGAATCTTCTGGAATGTGCCTTTGGGGAGAAGAGCCTCCAGCGCAGGCAACTAGCCCTTCAGCGGAGTCGTTGGGGAACTTCGGAAGTTGGGGAGAGAAGGGGTCCTTGCCTCCAAGGCCAAGCTGTTTCCCAACCGGATCGGGGCTCTGCCAAGGGCCGGCTGGTGGGCGTGGACGGAAAAGGTCGGATTTCATTGAGGGAGGGCTTCAAATTTTACTAGACAGCTTTAGTCGAGTTTAGTACGTAGGGCGAGCAGGAGATACAAAAGGCCCTCGTCTCCAAAAGAGGAAAGCAGAGGAGAGTCCCGAGAATGCCTTACCCAGGGACGACGGCAGCGACAGAAACGGCAGCTTTCGGAATTGAAAGTGAGGGAACTGAGCCCTCGCCCCAAGCTTCGACTTGAAGCATCGGGAAGCTCCGCCCCTCCCCTCCGGCCCCTCCCTGCTCCAGGACCCCGCCCTCTCCACGAAAAGAAGGGAAGCTCTCCGATGTTTAAAGGTCACGGGAGGGTACCGGCGCTGCTTCCGTAAGGACCAGCAGATACATACAGGAGTTTAAATGAACATTTATTTCACCATTCTTTAAGTGGCTGTGCACAAGAACAACCGGCCGGACTGTCCGACCCACGCGCCCTTCTGGACCCCTATTGCAGGACCCAGAATGTCCAGGCAGGTCCTGCCCCAATCAATCCAATTACAGACACCCGCAGCTCGATCGCTCTAGAAGCCAAGATCAAAACATTTTAAATAATGAACAGCCTGGTTGGCTTGTAGTCTGAATTCTGGCTTGTTTAGTAGCATTCAAGAGTTATACTGCAAATAAACATCACTATGACTAATTAAAATTGCCATTCATTATAAATGCCAATCAGATTAAATAATACTATTTTATTATCCTTACCCCTTAGGGTTGGGGGTTCAGATTCTTCCTTTTCAGGAAGTAATTTTCATGAATATAATTTAGCGTTTTTTGTTACCTCTTCCTTCACCAACTGTCCCCAAGATTCCCTTCTACAAACAAATGAGTACCTGGGTCCCTGGGAGCAATCTCTCACTTAACCTGGAGTTAAATCAGTGAGTTTGCCCCATCCAGGTTTTGAAAAACACCAACCACAACTTCCTGTTCTAGACTCTCTAGGGCTAGATAACCTTTGAAAGGATTTCAAATATTCAAGAAGTCAGTAGCATATCCTATTTGCCCCCCACCACATTCACTCCTCCAATCCTGAATTTAGATTAATATAGGAGCTTGCCTTTCACCTGTTTCCACTTCCCTTACTCTACTGTAAAATAAGATCTGCCCTGACATGAAGAAAAAAGGTAACTGTTAAAGTGACTTTTCCCTTTAAGTAATAGAGGGGGTATTTTCCTTCCCTATAAGACTAGCAAAATATTTCACACTACTATTTTTCTCCTTAAATAAAAGAAAAATATATGCAAAATTACTACAATAGACACTGCTCACTAGGTGCTGGTGAGTTAACTTAGCACACTCTTCCCTCCTTTCATGAGATTCCTGCAAGGTGGATATTCATGTGCACCAATATGGTCCTCAGAAAGCAACAGTGTCATTTACTAAGAACTCTTGCAGGGAAATAATTTTTTTCTTTGAAAAAGGAAGAGCAGCAATACTTCTATCATGTTCTTGTATCCTCTTTCAATGCTACATTGAAAGTTACTGAGGGTAGGAGGAGTTGGTTACAGAAATCATAAGTCTTGAAAACAACTTCCAGTTCAAAAAACTGACAACAGATATCCCCATGAAAAACATCCACATGAACTGAACAAAAATATTTAACTTCAATACAAGTAGGGAACAAAAAAAAAAAGGTTCTACAGGAAGTTCAAATTACACTCTTCGATGCACTGAAATGGAGAAGGGAATTTTATCCAAATCAATTGAAAAACAGCTTGCTCCTATTCATCCAATTCCTAAAGTGAAAATTTAAGTTCTGGTCTTTGATTTGTTCCAAAATATATTGTAATGGGTATTGTCTTGACAATTCAATGATGATCTCCATATAGACTCATCAGTTTAAAAAACAAGCAAGGGCTTCTACCCCACACCCCAATGAAAGAATAAAGATCATCTCTGAGCAGCAGGCAGTTATTTAATACAAGGTCACTCCTCAATATCGGTGGCTGTACCAGTCATTGTTGTTGACCTGAAGGAGTTCTGTCACAACCTGCAGGATGTTGTAATTGTGTTTCTTCAACAGCCTTAGGTTCAGCTGCCTGTCACAGAATCCCATTTCAAAGAGATGGGCCATCAGAGCTGCTGTCTGATCTTCAGAAACTATTGGCTGTGCAGACAAAAAAAAAAGTAGACAACATTTTCTGTATAATTTGTTTATCCTGCAAATTTTTATTATCTTGCCATACTAGACTTTCCAGATTTATTCAAAATGCAAAGAAACTAGATGCAAGGGTACGATATTCCTGTCTACCTGACATTAATGGGTCTTCTGAGCTGAGGAAATATGCTTCAAATTCGGTCTGTCAGTACCCAAAGAAAAAGCTGGGAGATGATGAACTATCCTTAGAACTAGGAGAAGAGGTATGGGGTGAGGGGCGGGCGCCCGGCGCCCTGGGGTTGTGACTCAGTGGTAGAGCATTTGCCTACCATATGTGAGGCACTGGGTTCGATTCTCAGCACCATATATAGTAAAATAAAGATCCATCAAAAAATAAAGGCTACATTTTAAAAAGAGAACTAGGAGATGGCTTCAGAGAGGACTTTCAGAAAGAAGCATTCTTTGACCAGATGAGGTAAAAGTAGAAAACAAGGCTTAGGGGCACTATGAACATGAAGATCATTGTGACGATGGGGCAAATATAAGCAAGGAAAGAGACTGTTACAGGAAGATGGCATGAGAAATTGTGTCGGATATGCAGAGGAGGTAGACAAAAACTGCTTGGGAAATTATATCCTATAGTATTTTTTACTTTTTCCTTCAAAATAAAGTGGTCCAAGTTATGAGGAAGCTAACATTCACTACTCCCTTCTTTAAGCTAAGCCCTTCTGTGGTCAAAATTACTTCCATAAATGGTTGGTCTGTTATTATCTCTACTTCACAGATTGGGGAGGGGGAAACTGTAGAGCAGAAAGATGACTTGACTTTGGAGGCAGACAAGCTTAGGCCCCAACCCTCACTCTACCATTAACTCACCAATTGGGGTGAGTGTCAATCCTAAATTTATAAAATGCAGATACACCATACCTCTATTTTGCAGGCTTGTTGAGAAAGTATGTAAACATGTTGAGCAGTCTCTGGCAATTTTCTCTATACCTAATTCCAATGTTCCCTTCTTCCTCTTATTTCGGAATAGGTTATCAATCCTTCTTTCCAGGTTTAATCCTTCCACATGGATGTTGCTTTGTATCTCTTTACCTCTTACCACCTCGGAAATTTTTCTCCATTAATTGTTCTATCATCTTTATTGTTAACCCCTTTCATTACTGGCTTGCACACTTCAAGTCTCACTCATCTTTACAAATGTCTCCTTCTGATATTTGCCCCCTTTTTTCTTCTCAGCACTAAGGCTTGAACCCAGGGGTACTTTATCACGAAGCTACATTCACAGTGCTTTTTAAAATTTTGAGACAGGGTCTTGTTAAGTTGCTGAAGCTGGTCTTGAATTTATGATCCTCCTGCCTTAGCCTCCCATAGCTGGGATTATAGGCATACCAACCATGCCCAAGACTTCTGCTCTCTTTCTCTCTTTGTAGTCTATTGGAAAGTGAGGTATACTTGAACTCTCAAAATTCCTCATTACCAGTTCACACCTCTCAGCAGAAGCTAACACTGCTGAATACATCCCTCTCATTAAAACTTCCTAAATTCTAGTAGATAATTCTTCATTTTCTTCCTAGTTTTGTCTTCTTTGCAGGATTTTCCTTTCCCTGATGTTAAGGCTCCTTTTTGCCTTCCCCATTCTTCCTGGATAATCTCATCCATCCACATGGCTCTTACTATAACCTGTATGCAAAAAGGCTCTCAAACTTTTGTCACCAAGCCAAACCTCTCCCCTGTGATCCAGATGTATGTATTCACTGTACTCTGGTTATCTTTACTTTTACTAGGCTATGCCTCAAACAACCCTATCCAAAACCGAATTCCTATTCTCCTCTTACTCAAATATATCCTGCCTGCATAGCCGCTCATAATGCATGCTACTATGAACTGTGTAACATAGATTTGGGATTTATCCTTGACTTCTTTTTTTTTTTTTTTTTAAAGA